GATATCACAGTAGAGGCTCTTGGCGAAGAATTTTACTTGCACAAGCTTTATCTATGCCAGAGTCCTTATTTTGCGAGCATGTTCGGGGGATCATGGCTAGAAACCACCAAAAGTTACATAACTATCGATGTAGTTGATCCACAAATTACAGTAGAATGTAAGTATATTTTTATTTTTTTTTTTAACTTAATTTTATTGTATTATAAATTACAGCATTACAAATCGTTTTTGGGTCATTGTACAATGATGAAGTCATCCTCAATCCCAAAGATATTGTTCCAGTTTTAGCAGCAGCCACAATGTTCCAATTGGACGGGATAATTGAGAAGTGTACTGAAGTTATGATGGAGACAATTAATCCTAAGGTAACTAGTTCTTCACCCCTATCAGTCACTGTGAGCTCGAAACGGTTAGCACCATTACTTCGAGTGGTCGAAATTCACTTTTGTGAACAATTTGTTTAATCACTTTCTTTGTGTTAAAAATTGTTTGAAAAATTAAATTTAAAGAAATTGTTTGTAAATAGATATGCAACACATCGTACACTTCGCATAAGAAATTGCTGATACTAGATTCCTCCGTTGGCTGCTTAAACGTTTTTTAATGGTTTTGGTTTCTATTTAATGAAATTAAATATTTTTTCAGACTGTTTTTACTTATTACGACGCAGCTAGTCAATATGGTCACAAAAAGTTGAAGGAAGCTTGCATTTACTGGTTCCTTGTGAATCTCATGACGTATTATTACAGTGGTTCTCTGGTAACTTTACGCACAATTCCAGTGTCTCTCATGATATCTTTGGTTGCTAATCCCGATCTTTTCGTGATGCAGACCGAATTCTCCATTTATGTTATGTTAAAATTCTGGATGTACATGCACTTACATCCTGATCTGAACGAGAGTCCTCCCGTTAAAGAAATCAATACCTTTTACTGTTCCAGAAAAGGTTTTTATTAATTTTTCGTTAATGATAAAAAAATGGTTAAATGAATTCAATTTTAGGAGAAACTGCGTTTTTATTGACGAAAGAAGGAGAAAAATTCAAACCAGCCTTTAGAGGATTAAGGTTGCACAATCTCATTTCACATTACATGGACGTGGAAATGATAGAAAGGGATAACATCGTCCCACAGCACTGGTTAAACCCTGTGGTTGTTGACCAGTGGAAAACAATGCTCAAGATTAATCAGAATGAAGACAGTGGACCCTCCGCTGATCTTTCTGCTGATTTGTTCTTGAACAAGAGTCTTCGTTGTGGACGGATTTTGAACGAAAGGGGGAGACACATGTGGCGATGGACGGGATTTCACTATGGTATCGACCTTCTCATGATAACAGACTGTACGACGCTATCGATCAAAAGGAACCACAGGCCTGAATTTGAACAACTTCTTAGTCAACAGAATTCCAGAAATATATCGATAAGGTAAGTTGAAAAAATATATTATGTAATGGCGAAGAAGCCTTGCAGTTTTGCTTTTCAATTGCACCAGGACTTAATATTCGAATCCAGTATTAATTAATTTGTTTTATATTTAAGATGAACAGATGATATCAATAATGTTTACAATTTTTATAGAGTTACAGTGGTTTCTTTAAACGAACAGAGACAAGTGGTGTACAAACAGACTTCGGAAATGAGGAATTTAACATTAACAAAAAGTGAAGAGATCACTCTGATGACGTTAGACAAAGACCTCAGGTTCCCCTTAATAATATCGACGAACGTTCTATTCACCACCCCCAATAACCAAGAACTCCAAGAACAGACGATACAAACTATAGGGTAAACATATAAATAAACAAGAAAAAATACATTTTGCATTTACCAATTTATACATCGGTATAATACAAAGAAAAATAATTATTTATTTATTACCACTGTTGTTATTATTATTCTTGTTGTTATACCTACACATTTACTTATACATCTCATCTGCGATCTTTATTATTAATAATATTTACTAATATTATTTCTTCTTATTGCGCTTATAAATATCATACCTATATTTGGTAATATATATATATTTCTTTTTATATTTACAAACATACAATAATAATAACAGCTACTGCTTGACTGTTAAATTTAATTATGCTGCATNTTTCATTAAAAAAAAAAGATAAAGATGAAACTTACTTATATTTAAAGCATATCCCCATAAAAGGTAATATATATATATTTCTTTTTATATTTACAAACATACAATAATAATAACAGCTACTGCTTGACTGTTAAATTTAATTATGCTGCATTCCCTACGAAAAGGTTTCTTTGTGAAACACTATCCGGGAAACTACCCCACTGCATGGAAACTATACTAGTTTATTTTTTATTTGTACCTACAGTAGAAAAGACAGGCATGCTATGTAAAATTGAGTACCTACTAAGTTTTTAATTAAAAAGAGGAGATTAATATAACGTGACAGTTTTAAAATCAATTTTGAAATTGTTATTAAAACGATTACGTGATTTACAGTTGATTTGTCAGTGCCAACAACTCTAAATTTAACAGATATTCATTTGTGATAAAATAATTATGTGTATATATTATTATTGTATATTATATTTTTATTTTAATAAATTTAACGGAAGATTATTATTCTGGGTGATATATNATTTCAAATTTCATTAAAAAAAAAAGATAAAGATGAAACTTACTTATATTTAAAGCATATCCCCATAAAAGCATACTGAAGATCTAGTTTATTCAAAGTTAATTTTAAGTTGAAAGAGATAAAGTTATAAATTTATACAGGATTTTTCAAAGCACTAATTAACTTCACCATAAAATAACACCTCTTAATTAAAGCGTTATCGCTTTGCATATGTGTTTAAAAATTGTTCTGTTTAACTGTTTAAAAAGAAATGACAATTACACCTTTGTAAATAAAATACATACAATTATGCTTTTTAAACAATTTATGGAAGATTATTATTCTGGGTGATATATGTACGAGACATGAATTTCTTTTTTGATGTGAAACATCTTTGGCGCGCCTAAGGGGTAAGACTCAAGCGTGGCAAGACAGGACGACGCTTCGGGTAGTCTCGTGACTAGTCCGATGTTTTCATCTTTCACTTCCTTATTTACAAAAATCAATTTCGATGTTTCACATCTGCCTTAATGATTATTTTTTTACAGTATTACGTTGATCGTATTAATTGTAACTAAAAATGGGTTAAATAATGCTTGCTAACCCAATCTAAGTTTTTGTTTTTGTGTTTTTTACTGTAAATGTTTAAAATTTATACATTAACACTGCTGAGAACTAACAAAATGTTATAGTTATTCAACGAATCTTTCTTCTTATTTTTTTATATCTTGANCACAAAATCGCTTTTAAAGCAAGAGGTGTAATTAATTATTTATAGAGCAAAATAATAGCGAAGACGAAATATTATTATCTCCTCCTCAACAATTAAGAATTAAAAACGTACAAGAATTGATGGACGAAGTGATGCTGAAAACTATGAAGGAAGAAGAAGCAATCGAAGATATCGATTCTGACCCAGCCAATGCCGAAGCAGAATTCAATAAATTCTTCGAAAGCACAAAAGAAAAATTGCAAACGGAAATAAGCAAATGTATAAAAGAGGAACAAGAAACCATCGAAAAGAACGAGACAGCAAAATATGTAGAAGATAAAAAAGTAATTGAAATTAAAACGAAGAAAGAAGACGAAGAAAAGGGCATTCGGGTACATATATTTAATACTATACATATTTAATGAATTCTAATAATTTTTTTTTAATTTCAGAAATCTCTTGATGATACTACAACAACATGCAGTTCATCGAGTGATTCTTCCAGTTCTGACTCTGACAGTGACGATTCTAGCAGCACAACATCTACAGCCACTTCTTCAGATGCTCCCACAGGCTTTCTAAGTAACTCAGAAATAGATAATCTCATTAATCAGTGCGTAGAAGGTATTTATTTTATTATTGGGACCCGTCACAAATTCTTCAGTCTTTTATTTAAGGTTTGGAGCAGTACATTATCAGACTCCCTCAAAATTACAAAGCACTTTACCGGTTAACCCACCTTTTCTTCCATTACAAATCGAGGAAGGACTTATCAAAGTGCAGACAGCTCCTTCTGGGGCAGTACAGATGTCGGAATAATATGTTGGTAACGGGATTATTTTCTGATAGGAAAACGAACAACTTTTTTAATGTAAGTCTTTTTTTGTAATAAACTTTTCTTCTTTATTACATTAATCAACATTAAAGGGAGTCTGGAGAATTCCTTCAGGTGAAATAGACCGCCCAGGTTCCCTAGCAGCTCATATGGTGAGATGTGTAACAATACTTTTACAAGTACTTCGAAACACCAACGATCACAAAATTCTATTAGATGTATGTCTACAGTTGAGGAGGATACCTGACCAGGACAAGTAAGATTTTGTATTGTGATTTATTTTTTTTTTTTTTTAATGTATTTATTTATAAATACAGAGAAATGAACTTGAAAACTTCACAAAATTTCAAAAAAGGTATATGAAAAAGGCCGCTTTCACATTTTAGTCATACGTAGCAATTTAAAAATGATTAAGATTAGGGCTTTAAATCGTGACTCATTATCCGACGAAGATGCCCCAACCATACGCAGAGAAGCCCAAGTAATATTTTATTTTTAACAAATATATAAAGGTGTTTACATTTTATTGCATGATTTAGGAGGAAATTGCCCTCGACATGTACAATAAAGCTTTACGACATCAATGCAATGGGAATTATGAAGAGGCTGTTTCAATTCTTGAAAAACTCTTAACAGAGAATATTCCCCAGCTAGAATCACAAGGCGGACTCCCCAAGACTATGTCAACCCTTAAATATTCATGTTATTTCAATGTAGGGAATATTTATGTCCAGAAAAAGAATGATTCTGATGCCTTAGATAATTTTCTAAAGGTTTGCCTTAACAAATATTTTTGAAATAGTTTAATTGATAACTATATTTTAGGCTGCAGATTTGGACTCTTCTGATGTTACATTGTGGCATAAAATAGGCACAATAGCTTTAAAATTAGACAGGTTTCGCCAAGCTGCTTATGCTTTCCTAAAGGTCTGTTTTATGTTATGATAATAACAAGTAAAATTGTTCTTGTTTTTGCATCTAATAGGGCCTGGAATGCAATGAGTCTCACTGGCCTTGTTTGGATAAACTAATTTCAGTTTTATATGCTATTCAAGATACAGTGACATGCCTCTTATATATAGGAAAAGCACTCGTTTTAGATAAAGATTACATTAAAGGTCATGTGGTTAGAAAACTCATTTTTGAATCTAACCCAGCTGCTAAAGAATACTATCAAGCATACAATCCGGATTAGTAAGCACAGCAGAATGTTATTTCAATCGTACTGTATAAATAAAATTATTTATAGTATTTTAGAGCCTGATTTTGATGGTGTGGTTACAGAAGAAGATGAAAAAATGATAATAAAAAATTTGGAGCCTTTATGTAAAAGATTAAACGAAGTGGAAAAAAGTTTTGGCCCCAAACCACTCCCATGTATAGCACTGCCAACTGCTTTGCAAGATTTTACTTGGGTTTCACTAGGAAAAACCATATTAAATCTCCACAATTATATAACTGAAAATAAGCTGGTAAATTGAGAGAAAGGATTTATTATTTTGATCAAAAACATTGTTTAAATAAATATGTGAATAGAACTTCTAAGACATGTACATAAGTATGCAAATGATTTTTTTGAGACTTTCTTTATTTTGTTAGAGTTACTTTTCAAAAGTGGACATAACAAAATGTATGAGCAGGGAATACACTGATGTTGAAGCAGTTCCCATTGAAAACACGGCGGAAAACTCCAACGAAAATGTAATAGATGCAAAACCCATTGTTTTACCAAGCACTGAACCACAAACTATGGAAGTAGAAAATGAAGTAAAACCTGAAGACAATTTTGAACAACGTCGTCCCTCTTTAAGTAGTGAAAATAATAATTTAAGTGAACCTAATTGCAGTCAAGGAGAAGATAACGATGAAGTGAATTCATTATTATCTGTTTTGCACTATTTTTTTAACATTTTATTTATTTTAGATGGATCAGGATACTGAAGACCAAGAGGATAATTCCGAACAGAAAGAGGAGAAAAAACGAACTGCAAAACGCAAACGTGACTTACTTTCAGATCTGCAGATCTGGGGGTGGCATAGCAAAAGGAAATCAGCAAAGAAAGGAAAAAGTGAAAAGGATTTTACCATTCAAGGTGCCCTCACAAGGATAATACCGTCGTATTTGCTGTAAGATTTTTATAATTGATTTAAACAGAAAATAATTTTACAATTCTATAAATACATCCTCAAAAGAATCTATTTGTTTTTCTAGTCCAAATGGTATAAACATAGAAAGAAATAAAAATTTTGATAAAAACAAAGGCATTGATAATATATTCACTAATTTCAAAAGCCAATTATCTTCGACTTCTGTAAACTTGTAAGTGCACATTCAATGATTTGTAATTACCTCAAAACACTGTAAAATGTTTGTTTTAAGTGAAAAATACTTTGGAACTGAAAATGAAAAAAACGACGTTACTAACTTTTGGACTAAAGAGCGCGAACATTTGGATGTTGTTGATTTAATTGAAGAGTATACTGTATCTTTAGCCAAAATGTGGAACAAAAAATGGCCAAAAGAATTAATTTCGTTGTATTTAAAAGCCTATGATAAATACAGGTAAACATTATGTGAAACGTAAGGTGTTTAGTTACATACACCTGGTTTATTTTGAACTGAAACCTATTTAAAACGTTTTTTATGCATCTAAAGTTTTTTTCTCTCAGGGAACATTTTGAACACCCTGAGCTGTTTAATGGTTTGTCTTCATTTGAAGAGATAAAAAATGACGCTTTAGTGACTTTGATGTATGGAGAAATTGTATATTTTTATTTAAAAACGTAAGTAGGACAATTTCAAGCAAATATGACTTTCAAAATAATTTTTCGTGTTCTAGAGAAGACAAAGACAAACGAAAGGTGCATCCAACTTCTTTGATTCAATTACAGTTGTTAAGTACTTGGAAAGAACAGTGGCAGGAAGATTATTTTATAATGTTTGTAAGAATACACTGGCTAAGAGCTTACGTCCTTAAAGGACTTTCTAATCATACTCTTGCAATTTGTGCATATCAACTGGTAATTTAATTTTAAGTTTACTTTAGT